TGAAGACCCCTGTGTTAAATAAATGTGTAATGTGTTAAACCTTGTATCCATTTACTTCCTCATACACTATTATTGGACTATTCTGGAACTATTTAGTAAGATTCACGGGAATCTTACACAAATTCATTAATTATTTTATCAAAATTAATTTGTTTTGTAAATTCCTGTTCGATTGATAAAATTGTGATGTTTGACAATTTTTCCTGAGCAAGTGACGATCTTACGATCTCAATATGTTTTGATAAATTTTAGTTTACTGAAGCCTCTTTCAGAAGCTATAGTAACAGGTAGTGTTGGGACACTTAGGAGTATTCTCAATGCAACTTCTAAATTTGGATAGAACTGAACTAAACTATATTTATGAATCGTTTTTAAAAGATCTAAACTTGTAGCTACTTTAAGGTCTGGAATTTACGTCATTGCCTGGTTTTTTTTTTGATACTTTAAAGTATTTGACGAAACATTGCAAGATACATTTGGCTTTTTATTTTGCAATTTATTAATTTTCAATTTTCCCATTGTTCAACTGATGCAATGCCTCGTTTGCCTCACTCTTGTCCCAGCTCTGATGAGGACTGTTCAACTTTTGTCCAGAATTTTAGTAATGGCGATGGAACTGTACGTATTACGTATTCCCGATTTATGTTATTTTTTCCCCTCCCATCCCCTTCCAGATGCTGGCACCTCGCCCATACCCACAAATTAGAAATCTCTTGGCTGATGTTGCAGCAAGGTTTTAGGACAATAATCCTCCTAGATAACAATTCTCCGGACAATAACTTCCGTGTAAACCTTCCAGAAATAAACCCCAATTTTAAGTGTCAGTAGATTAAATCAAATGTGGTATTCTGTCATCCAAACGAAATCTTTGGAATAAATGTCTTAAATCGATGACAAAACATACTATTATTAGCACAGAAATGTATTTCTGACAAAATACAGATCTACAGGTTCAAAGAATTAAAAGTGAAAACAAGTGAGAATGGTTAACTGGTCGAGTCGCGACAGTGGCGTAGCGTAGTAGGGGCTGCCCGCCCCTACTACGCTACTTTTAGGGGGCGGCAAAATTTCACAATAACTAATAATAATATCGTGTAAAAATTTGAACCATTTCATTTCATATCTTTGTCACACCCACGATTCGGACGGATTGAAATGAGTACGGAATTTTTCATTACTTATTCTATGACGAAACTGAATTTTAGTCTTAAATTGAGATACCTAAATAAGGGGGCGGCGAAATTTTCCTCCGCCCCGGGCGGCTAACACCCACGCTACGCCGCTGGGTCGTGATAAACTTTTCCTGGTATCTAGGTCTAGTTGACGACTACAAATTACCGTTTTTCTGTAAATGTCTCGGATGAACGGGCTGATCGCGATTTAAGAAGCTTCTCGACCCTGTATCTGGAGCTTTAAAGAATGGAAGATAAGCAACAAAGTAGACATGGCGGAGGAAGTAAATTATCGAAAACCGATGAAAAATTCACTGTCCCATCGGGCTCTGCCTGGTGAGGAACGCGATCACCAAAAAGAGAAATCACCCGGATGCTAAAGAAATCAAAGATTTATATCCATATCGATAAAGCCCGACTTAATGCGCCTATCTCATTCCCTTCAAAAGTTCTTTATAAGTTCGCTCTTCAATTTGTCTTAATTCGATAAAACTCATTTTTCTGTGGTAATATTATGTAAATAGGGGTTTTTTAAAACACTTTCCGCCCTGTGGTCACTAAGAGGGCCTCTTTTTTGCAAGCCCATTATGGGTACGGCCAAGGCCACAATGGGGCGACCAGGTAGTGAGGGACGGGGCCCGACATATCCGGACGGACCACCCCCCGAAAATTTTCTGGGGATTATTTGACCCCGGGTCCCCCAGAGCGGTAGGCTGTCACCTTGACCGCTCGGCCATCCGGCCTAATGTTAATAGGGTAAATAATAATAGATAATAAATACATATTTTTTAAATTTCGAGAGTTCGGTGATAGCCAGTTAATGTAATACTTAATGCACTGTCAATGAACATTTTAGGAATCCCAAATCATTCGACTTTAGGAAAGCAGCTAAATCGTTTAGAGAGTCGTCCTGATTATTTCTTTATCCGAGTCGTAATAGGTTGGAAATAACAAACAAAAGGTTTTCTCTGAAACGTGCATATTAACTTTTAGTATTATTTAAGAATTTGTATCGGCATTTTGTTGTGTTAAATAAAGTTCAAAGAAACTGTTAGTTGTAGGCACTGATGGAGTCGGTAAACAACAGTCCGACTCCCCAACTCCTGCAAATTTGAAATGTGCAACTTCGACTTTACCGTTTTTTTTAAATATCACACTACGATTCCTTTTATAAGAAAGATGCCACTGAATATCCGAATATTTTTAGCTAAAATTTCTAGAAAGTTGTACTAAAGTTTATGGTGAGAATGGAAAAAAAAAACGGTTATAACGAATTTACTTTGGAAAAGCTTTCGAGTATGTAAACATACTGCGGCTTAATCGGCCAAAAGAATTCCACTTTTATTAGTTAATTATCAAAACTTGATTTAAATTTAGTTTGTAGTTGTAAGCTTTTTGTCTCTAATGAATTAAATAATTATCTCAAATTACTAATTGGTGGAGATATACGAGGCTTTTTTTTAACTTCCCTCTCTGTGGGCACTAAGGGAGTCTCTTTTAGCAAGTCTATTATGGGTTCAGCCAGATCCACAATGGGGCAGCCAGGTGATGAGGGACGGGGCCCGACATATCCGGACGGACCACCCCCCGAAAAATTCCTGGGGATTTTTCGACCCCCAACGGACTGGCTGATGAAGTTTTCCTGGTTTATTCACGTGGGTTACACCTAAATAGGGGTCACTTTTTCTTTAAAAACTGCCGGAAGGCACATTCCCTCGATTGGCAGATTGTGTTGTGTGCCAGTATTTAAAACCAATCAATATACAGTGGAACCTCGATTATCCGGATTGTTCAAAATAAACAAAAATTTTACGAATTTGCTGATTTGCACTTGGCGAATTACGATACTGTTTATGTACAGTACGTGATGGAAAGCATAACTTTTTTTTTTTTTTTAAATATATTTAAGAGTTTACGGCCACTGTGCCGGGTTTCGACAACGTCTCACCCGGCACAGTGGCCGTAAACTCTTAAATATATTTTGCGTCGTAATAAAAATATAACTTGACATACTTATTTATAAATAATTTACTTTCAAATTACATTTCTACGACCAAGGGCGGCGTAAGGCATGGGCAACGTGGGCCTCGCGATCCGAAGGTTTATGCATTACTTAAAAGCCGCGAACGCGACGAAAAAATTTTACTTGTCAAAACGATAAATAGTTTGTCAAATTTTTATTCATAAAAATGCAGTTTCGACTGCTTTTTATTTTATAAAATCCGTCTTCTTTCGCCACCAGAGGGCCTTTTAAACGATAGGTAGTCTGTAGTAGTCCAAATTCCAATACGAACGTTTATTTCTTGGAAATTTGATCACGATTTAAATACAGTATTTACTTTTAATATTATCGATATGCCATCGAAAAGAAAACGTGTTGTATTATCATTAAAAGACAAAGTATTTGTTTCGATTATCCGAATTTTTCCGTATCCGGACTACATTCATCCCCAATTAGTCCGGATAATCGAGGTTCTGCTGTACTTACAATTGAAAAATCATTGCTTTCTGACTGGCTGTCAGTCAATTATTGTGCCATGTTTCTTCATTTTGGTTGGATAATACAGTAGAAAAAGCATGTCGAGCCCGGCGTACATTATATAGGGTTCGGCTTTCTAGGTGCCATGAGCATATTCGTTTTAATTAATATAAGCTATTTTCTGAAAGTATAGAGCACGTCTCTTATGATACTCATAAAATTTTGGTATAAAATGACCTTTATAGATGAATATCATTTTGATATTTAAAGTTATCGAAGTTCCGTTTTCTAAAAAATATTTTAAATAATAAAAAGTATTTTTCACTTCACATTTTACCAATAGTAAAATTCGCAGTCGGATTTGCCAGAGTAGCGATTCCATGGCACTGGTTTCGGGAGGATTTTTTATTTTTACACGGGTTATTTTGCCGAAGGTTTTAACGGGTTTTTTATCCGAGGAGTTATTCTCTTGTTATACCTGCGCAGGATGGGTGCTTTTAACAGACTGTTGGGAAATTCTGGATCGGGTCACCGTGCAATTATTACCTTCTTTTTAGGTCTTTGAAGGACGCTTAGGAGACGGGAGATTCATTCAGAATGTCAAAGTCTCTCTGACGTCGTCATTCTGGCTTAATTCTTTGACCTCAAAGAGTTTGCATTACAGCAGCTTCAACATCTATTCTGCGGACATAGTATCATTCAAAACAACGGAAGAAATGTCAACATGTGGAGGAGAGTATCTACAGGGTGTATCATTACAGCGGTTACGAACTTTCAGGAGAGATAGAGTACACCTAGACGATGGGAAATCACTTAGCAATGCATGGTCGTAAACGCTTTTCTGGTGCGGTAGTGACGACACAAAACACAAGAAAGGAGGGACACGAACAGGGTGAGAAAACATGTTTATTATTATTAGTACAGCAAAAATCAAAGAAGGTGTTCGAAGTTACGACCCCGGGCCGTGATGTTAGGCTTCATCTCACGTCCCAGCATTTTTGCTGTACTAAGAATAATAAACATGCTTTCTCACCCTGTTCGTGTCCTTCCTTTCTTGTGTTTTGTGTCGTCACTACCGCACCAGAAAAGCGTTTACGACCATGCATTGCTAAGTGATTTCCCATCGTCTAGGTGTACTCTATCTCTCCTGAAAGTTCGTAACCGCTGTACTGATACACCCTGTAGAGAAATAAACATAAATTGAGACTATTTAACATCGCCACTACTGAAATTCAGGACAGTAGTTGAACTGACCTCATATTTTTACAAAATGTATTTTATTTTATCATTTTTTATTGATATAATAATAATGATGATGAAAACAAAATGTTCAAAATTTTAATTTATAGATATCAGTCCAATACCACAAAAGATATACTGGATACTATTTTATCCATACAACCAAAGGATGTTAGTAGTAGTGAAGAAGAAACGAGAGAAACTGTTGTTTATAGAATAGCAAAGGAAATGTTGGATAAATTACCATCTGATTACGATCCACATATAGTAAATATGAAATAAATCTAATTCATTCATTATATATAAGATGGCCCAAAACTCAGTTAACCAAGATATATCCTTCTAAGAGTGTTTTAAGAACGGGTAAAACTGGTCTGTTATTCGGTCACTCTTACAATTTGGCTAACTGATTTTTGGGCCACTCTGGACTTAGACTTACTATCAAATTGTTTATAAACCATAGGTAAAAGCGCGTCTTCAAAAAATGGGTCCAATGCTTTCCATGAACATATTTTTGAGACAAGAGATCGATCGAATGCAAAGAGTTCTAACGTTAGTCAGAAACACGCTTCACGATCTCCACTTGGCAATCAATGGAACAATTATAATGAATGAAGTGAGTATGTCAGAATTTTTTTCTTTTGACACATTTTAAATTTCTAATTAAATTATCATAATTGTAGAATTTAAGAGATGCACTGGATAGAATATACGATTCAAGAGTACCAACCGTCTGGGTTAAGATAGCTTGGGAAGCAACAACTTTAGGATTTTGGTTTACCGAATTGTTAGATCGAAACAAACAATTATCTCAATGGTTATTTGCTTCCAGACCAAATATCTTTTGGATGAGTGGGTTCTTCAATCCTCAAGGTTTGTATTACAGTTTATTTTTAACACGCACGAGAGTTATCAGTTTTGGATGGTAAAAATCATCAGTAAAAGTTAGTATACGTGTTAGACATTGATTTCAAACTCAAACAGAACATCATTTGTACTCTTTCCATGCCATATTGTACTGTTTTTAAACTCTGGCCCGCAGGCATTAAAATGCCTTTACTCGTCCCCTTTGGTTCGGCTAGCCTAGGTCGAGGACGGTCGAATGGACAGAGGGCTAACGCTTGCGGGCAAGTAGACCCGGTCTCGAAATCGGAACAGCAGGCCAAGCGGGACATTCCAATTTTCAACGCGAGTGTTGAGTTGTTGAAGTCAACAATGTGACGTCATCAACGACGTTCCAACTCGAGTACGAAGTGCTTAGTTCCCATAATTCCATTCTCAGCAAGATGGATTCCATTCGAATGTCTTACTAATTACCCACAATTCATTGGAAAATAGCAGTCAACATATCTGTTGAGTGCTGAGTGTGTTGAGTCAGCGCTGACAACAGCGCTACCTCAACGTTGAAAAAAGGAACGAATTTTAACGAATGTTGAGATAAGCGCTGAGTCAGCGTTGAAAATTGGAATGTCCCGAATGTTTCTGCCTCCCGACCAAAACAACAAAGCGAATGCCCAAAATGGCATCCGAAACCTTAATTATATTTACTAATTTATCCTTCTAGGATTTCTCACGGCAACGAGACAAGAGATAAGTCACAGTCGTAAGTGGCCGTTAGATTCCGTCATACTGGATAACGACATTTTGAAAAACTTTAAAGACGATGCCAGGCTTCAGCTCACTGCAAAGGTACCAAAAAATAACACTTAATTTTAATCGATTTACGCCACAAATAATTAAACGTTTAACGTAGGACGGCGTTTACGTACACGGATTATATCTGGAAGGTGCAGCGTGGGACATGAAATCTTCAAGTCTAACGGAATCTTTGTCAAAACAGTTGTNAAAGAATGGCTTCAAGAAAAAAATCTTAAAGGTGCTTACCTTTAAGATTTTTATCTTGAAGCCATTCTTTCCGAAAGGACCGAGAATACTTTGTCCATTTTCCCATTTTAATACCAATCTATATACATAACCCATTCAACGGGTGTCCGTCCCGTAACCGTTTGATAACGGACACTAGAGGCGCCCCTATCGTATGTCATATTTCAAACATTGAAATTAACAATTTTAATTGTTATTGAAATTAACAATTTTAGTTCAAAGTTAATATAATAAATTCGAAATGTATTTGTTGTTACATGAATAAATTATTATTTGCCCATTAAATTTATAAATTTATAGCGTTTAACGCATTTAGGTTGCGAATTCTTAGGTTAATCGGTATTGGATATAAGTTTGTTTAAATGAACACAGAATCTAGGGTCGTGCCCGTCGCTGCTAAATACAATATTGCATGAGTTGTAAGAAGTTAAAAAAATTCAAAGGTACTGTACTGTACATAAAACATTATAAACGCGTTTCCTCTCCTATTAATAATTCGAATAATTAGGGGATATATTGATAAATGGAGAAAAACAACCTCCGTTACGAAAACAACATACCAAACATTCTTGTCGGCACCAAATCGTTCCTTTCTACTGACAATCACATGTTTGCGCCCAGCCAATCACGTTTATCTAGAGAAACCACCGCTAACATCCACATTCCGAACATTCCGATCAGGCTTCGAAAATAACCCATCTCTCATTAGCTGCCCGGTTTCGTGGTTCTCGTCTTTTGACTAATAATAACCGTTTTCACCAATGACGTCGACGGATTTAACCAATAAAATGCGTTAATAGTGGTGCTTCCATTTTTAATGATGAAAGAAAATGGCGACGGAGTCCGTAGACGGAGCGAGTGATCAAAATACTTGCCGTCGCGTCGAAGAGCGCCGTAACAATGTGATGAATGCGTTACGCCCGTGCTACAAAATGTGAAGAGGGAGAGCGACGTTAGTATAAACCCTTAAATTATGATAATGGTTTAAATTCAAAAATCGGGGCCGTATAGGATGTCTACGGTTTTATTATTGCAGTCGTTTCGGTTACGATTAGAAAACGTGGTCACACATGGTTTGTGGTTATTCAACAGAACAAATGACCTTCTATATCTGGAAATATTTATTTCTGTTGTTTTACGCTCACAAATGGCTTCATCATTCGTAGAATTTCTAAGTGTTTGGATGATTTAGTGCGGTGCGGCGAGGAATCGAAGATATACGACTTTCTGCCTTTCGGTGAGTATTTATTTCCCTATAGGTAACCAATTTCATTTCATTTAATGCTATATTTAGGACGTTTAAAACCTGGAACACATGCGCTTTTGTGTCGTTATTATATTAATTAATATATTTAATGTAATTATAAATATTTGATTCTGTTAGTCTTTAGTTCAAAACCACATAAAATTATAAATAAAAATTGTTATTGAGTTTTTAGAACGTAATTTTATTGAAGAAATTGTGTTACTCTGTCGGGGGGAACTTGTAATAGAATCGTATCGTCGATTACGATGATGACGGACTTAAAAATTAGACATAAACTTGATATTTTCCTGTGGTACACTCCCGCTAATTTAAACTGGTAATTTTATAGAGTCGTTTGGATCGGTGGGATTGTATATAAAGAGAAAAGTGTCGAATTTGCCTAGAGTCCTTTCTGATGTGTTTTGAAAATTAAACGGCAATTTCTTTTCTTTTTGGCCGGGACGTTCGGCAGATAAACCGACAAAATTGGCTTGGATTGGCACGAGTGCTCTTTACTTTAATGAATGGCGAGTCAAATTTGATGCAAATGATGTTTTTGCAAAATTTGTTTGGATCGAATTACAAAAATATAACTCGTCAGTAAGTATGAGAGTAAGTAAGGAGTATGACAATTGTTTGTCATTAATTATGCTTAATTTAGTATAAATAAATAAATTTTATTAAACTAAAAATAATCCAAAAAAACATATTAACAAATATATTTACCCAAAACATATTGCTTTTAAATTATTATTTAACTATTTCAGATTTATTTAGGTTTCATTTTATGTATTGATTTGTCATCCCACTATATTCTCAAGTACCATTAAGTAAACAAACCAATTACCATTATATATTTTCAAAGAAATGCATTGGAATGAGTGAAATTATTTCTAATTAGACTTTGTTATAAAAATGAATTTATTGGTAATGTCAGGTTATGTTTAACAAGAAATAAATAAGACAATGCATTGACACATTAAAAAATTATGAATAAAGATATGTATTAAGTATGAAAGTGTATTTTGTTAAATTGTACTGGTTGATAATTATTTGTTCTAAAAATATATTATAATGAAGAATATGGTACTATGAATAGTAAGGAATTTAAAAGTTTGCTAATCAAATGGAGTGTTTTGACTCTTATGGTACAGCACTATTAATGTAAGGTAAGTCGTGTAGAGGTATACCTCGCCTTACGTCAGTAATTGGTTCCGGGAGAGGCGACGTAAGTCAAATTTATTTGTCTCCGAATGTACTTGTAACTAGGCTAAACCATAAATTACCATTCCTGGTTCTATATTTTATTTATTAATGAATTTTTAATAATATATGGTTAATAAGGATCTATTTTAAGCTTACAAATAAATTTTAATAAAAAGTAAAATACATCTGGATACGAGTCCAATTTTGCTTGCCTTGTTCAATCACCAGGAACAACTATTTCCATTGCAGAGAGAACCTTTCTTTAGAGGCTATGCCTCTGCACAAATATGCAAAACAGTTTAAAATGTCCTCAGGTGACAATCCCAACACAATTAAAAATGTTTTGCATATTTGTGCAGAGGCATAGCCTCTAAAGAAAGGTTCTCTCTGCAATGGAAATAGTTGTTCCTGGTGATTGGACATGGCAAGCAAAATTGGACTCGTATCCAGATGTATTTTACTTTTTATTAAATAGTAATTCTGCCAGCCCTTTTCTACAAAAAAATAAATTTTAGTTTTTAATATAGTACAGAAAAAGTAATCTAAATTTACGAATGCATGTACTGTAGATACAGTGCATACTTGTAAATGTATATATTTTAATATGATTTTATGTGCTTTAAATGCTTTTCTAGTGATATTACGACTTCAGTATTTGTGGCGGACAGACATAAAGTCGAATAAAATGACTTAAACTTGATTTTTATTTTTCCGTATACTTTTTTGACAAATGACATATAATCGGGAATGACGTAAGTTGAGGTATACCTGTATTGTATGGATTCTCTAGCAATTTCTATAACTCTTGAAACTAAGCATGAAAGAACTAAAATTAAATGTGAAAAATATTTGTAATAAACATGCAAAAACCTGAATATAATATCACAGAAAATAATAAAAATGTCAGAAGTTAAATTCATATCACACAAAAAGACTAAATATTTTAAAATACATTACTTAGAAGATTATTAATACTTAAGAAACTAATGAGATTAAAACAAAAGTAAAATTATATTATTTCACTTCTAAGTATGACTCTATTTTTTCATTAAATAATAAAAATATTATAAGTTGCCATCTTAATAAAATCAAAAGAAAACAATAATAATTGCTTTCAATGACTTATTGTATCATTTGCAATAACTATCCTTTGTCTAATTTCTCAACTAGTTAAAAATTCTTCATGTTTGCATAAAGTATTTTTAAAAGAAATTTTTCTTTAAGCTTTCCATCACTTTGTCTTCCTCCTAAAAATCTGTTGCTGTATCAATTGTAACATGCTAAAAAGACAATCTTTCATAGCAATGAAGTAAGCTTAAAGAGCCTGCTGCTGGATAAAGAAGATTGTGAAAGTTTTCTTTAAAATTATGTAATAGGTTGTGTATGTGTGTGATATTTTAATTGCTTAGACTCTTGTTCAAAAAGAAAAAACTATTAGGTTAAATCAATAATTTCTAAAGTGGACACTTTCTCCTGGGAGTGCTGGAAGATAAAAGAAGCAGTCTGGGAGTATGGGAAAGCAAGTGGCAGTAGGTGCATTGGAAGATGAGAATAAAAGATTTATTCTGAAATAAAAAAAAATTACTATTCAACTTCAAACAAACACATTTGTAAAATCAGTTTTGAGACCTAAGACTATATTAATTAATAAAGTGCTTTAAGATATTTCTAGACAATTATTTTTTATTTATAAAATAAATGCTTAAATTAAAGTTTATTTCTCAATGTATAATTTTTGACTGATTTTTATGGGGGCATTAAAGAAATACATATAAGCATTAAAAAGAGGTGGTAGTCTGAAGAGTTTGGAAAACACTGAGTAAACTGTGTCAGATATCTGAAATGTTTTATTATCTAATGATATGTTACATGCATTTATCAAAATATGGTGGTGATGGATTCAAAACACTTATTTTTAATTCTCTCGGAATCTCTATACAAAACATTTTGTATAAAATATGAGAGCAAATTTGTTTGATTTGCTTGTACAAGTTAATTGACTTCTGTTGTAAGAAAATCCATTAAATTTGCATTTACAAGAAATACTGTTACTTTTTTGATTTTACATTAAGAAAATTTTTGAAACAAGCAGAAAAAATGATGAAAGATGTGAATGTAGTAGTAATCTCTTTTTTAATATTACATTTTTAATATTCATTCACATCTTGCATTAACTAACATGCTAAATGTTTGCATTTTAGTTAACGCAAACATTGTAAATAAATTTTATGCCATTGGTATAATTTCTTGTATTGTTTCCTTCTGTCAACTGTTCATCTTCAGTTGTGGCAAAGACGAGCAGAAACACGATTCAGTAATGTTTATGAAGTGAATAAATAATTATATATATACTAGCAGATAAGCCCGGCGTTGCTCGGGCAAAAAGTAACGATAGCGAAGATTAAGATTATTATGTTATAGTCAATCTTATCTGTTTTCAAAGAATACTACAAGAATTAGGTCCCACTGTTTCCAGACTAATTAGAGAATTTTTAGATGGGTTAAAAATGTTTGATTTCACACAAAAACGAAAAAACTGCATCTGCATCTGTAAATCTTGCCCGTTGCTTTCTCTTAACACTTCCATTGTTCACACTTCCCCACAGGGGAAAGTGTTAACAACCTCAACCCTGCTAGTGGAATTTCAAAAAATCCCTCCTTAGTGTATATTCTCATTACGTACCCTATTAAAATGCAATGAAAAAAAAAACAAAAAACTGCATCTGCACCCGTAAATCTTGCACGTCACTTTCTCTTAACATTTCCATTGTTAAAACTTCCATTGTTGACACTTCCATTCTTAACACTTCCATTGTCGAAGCCTTAATCCTGTTCCTCTCCCCTCATGGGGAAATTTCGAAAAATCCCTTCTTAGTGTGCATTCTCGTGACGTACCCTAACTGTGTACCAAATTTCAACTTTCAACTCCTAACCATTTGGGCTCTGCACTTATTATTATTATCAACCCATCTCAATTATATATATAGACTAGCTGCAAGGACCCGCTTTGCTGGGTTTTTATTTGTATGTAATATAGTTTTTTTTATATATATAAAAGACTGTTTTTCTAAGTAATCTAGAATCTAGCTGCAAGGACCTGCTTCGCTGGGCAAANGTAATATGGGTACGCTATTCTGTCACAAAAGAATGCTAATTACAACTATACGTAAATAGTCTTACAATATAATTACATTGTTCCGTTAATTCTTGGAATTTTCTTAGTTGTATAGCATTAGATTCGAGGCACCTTACAGAAATTTCGGTAGTGCTTTTTGTTATTATTCAAACTTGAAATTATTCAAACTTTAAGACACCATTAAAAATAAATATTGCACTATAGTGAAAATTTTGTTTTAGTTTACTGCATAAGTTGGCGACCCCACAGAAAACCCGTCGCGACCCATAGGTTGGGAACCAGTGGATTATATGGTTAAACTCATATAATCAGTTATATCTAAGAAAACAATTAATTACAGTAAAATTTGAAATAATAATAAGATATTTTTAATATAATTGTATAAAAATGTATTTGCAGACATATATGGCATAGTCCACTTTAATCAATTCACTGGAATAATTCAAAGAAATACTCATCTGACAAAAGCTTGTCAAACCAAAACTGCTAGACCCCACAAGACGAGGCTATTGGTTTCGTCTTAGATGTGCTACAATTGACAAAAATAGGATCGACTTATTTTCTAAATGGAAACTCCCATTTTACATCAAAAACAAACAATTATCTTTTATGTGACTATCACACTGCATGTGTGTGCCTGTTGATATCTGTGAAGTTTGTTGAAAAAAATGAAAAAGGCTTTAAAAAATCATTACAAAACTATTATTATTTGGTGAATCATTCTTTTTTACTTCAAATGAACTAATAAAAAACTTTTCATAGCTCATTTAAATTTTTAGTGGATTGCTTAATGTGAATGCTTGTCAATTTTTTCTTATGGCAAATGACATCTCTTTTGCTGAATGTGTACGTCAATTCTCTGTTGGAAATGTTTTATGGTATGTTTTACAAGCTATTTGAATTCTCCCAATCACATCTCTAGTTCAGTGTTTTTCACCTTCTTGAATAAGAGACCCCTTTACAAGTTAAAAAATTCTGGCAACCCCCCAAGGCCATATTAAAACTATGTCAGTGATTTTAAAATCTAAGCATTTAATTATCTTTCTGTTTAGACCTAAATATTGATCAAAACACCAATTGTACTGTAAAATAAACAGGCACAGTTTTCTCACTGAGATTGTAGTTTTTTTTTTATTGTAGTGTAGGACCTACAAACAGTTGTCTTTTTCTTTTACCCGCGATCCCCCATGTAAGGTTTTGCGACCCACGGGTTGAAAAACACTGCTCTAGTTGTCGGTTCTTGTTTGTAAACAACATTCTTTAAATATCCCCAAAAATAAAAGTTGGGGGAAGCCAAAACTGGTGATTGTGTAGGCCATTGTAGTGGTCCACATCATCCAATCCACTTTTTGTTAAGTGCTTGTTTAAATATTTCATGCATAGTGGAGGCCCCACTCCATCTAAATGAATTCACATTCTTTGCCTTATAATACAAAGATCAACTTCAAATAATGAACTGAACTGGTTACAAAAATTTGAATAAAAGAATGATTGCAATGATTTTTTTAGCCTTTTTTTTTTTTCCTATTGAACTTCACAGCTATCTGTAGACATGCACATATGCAGTGTGGTGGCTGCATATGTGCATTTAAAGCACATATGCAGCCACCACACTGCATATGTTCAAAAATATTGTTTTTGATGCAGAATTGTAATATGCAGTCAAAAATGGGGTTCTCATTTAAAAAACTGAGTTGACCCTGTTTTCATCAATTGCAGTGCCATCCACGATGAAATCAATAGCTCTATCTTGTGGACCCTTGAAGTCTATCATTTTTAATTCCCCCCCTTTGTAAGACACATACTTTTTCAAGTTATTCCAGTGGATCAATTAAAATGACCACCTGGTATACTTGCTAATAATTCTTAAACAGTGAGTTTAAACTGGCTCTTCTAGACTGCTAGTCTTTTGTGGACTGTTACAAATTCCAAAATGCAATCCAAAGAAATTATTTGATGAAACTGGATATCTACTAGTGTCATTCTGGCATCTCTCTCCCTAGCTTTGATAATTGATTAATAATCAATTTTTTCATTAATTAAAGAAAAATAAAGTCAGCTCTACCCACTTCTTAGTACCTGCAGAGTAGCCTTGTAGGTGCTAAGCAGGACTTTACAGCAGGAATCTTGATCATGTTCTGGCTTCAGGCAAACAATTTTTAACTGCAATTGTTCAAGAAAGATGTACTGTATATTTACCCAATTATTTTATTTTATTGATTTATTTTTATTATCTATACTAATATTATAAAGAGGTAAACTTTGTAAGTTTGTATGTAGNATATAAAAAAAACTATATTACATACAAATAAAAACCCAGCAAAGCGGGTCCTTGCAGCTAGTCTATATATATAATTGAGATGGGTTGATAATAATAATAAGTGCAGAGCCCAAATGGTTAGGAGTTGAAAGTTGAAATTTGGTACACAGTTAGGGTACGTCACGAGAATGCACACTAAGAAGGGATTTTTCGAAATTTCCCCATGAGGGGAGAGGAACAGGATTAAGGCTTCGACAATGGAAGTGTTAAGAATGGAAGTGTCAACAATGGAAGTTTTAACAATGGAAATGTTAAGAGAAAGTGACGTGCAAGATTTACGGGTGCAGATGCAGTTTTTTGTTTTTTTTTTCATTGCATTTTAATAGGGTACGTAATGAGAATATACACTAAGGAGGGATTTTTTGAAATTCCACTAGCAGGGTTGAGGTTGTTAACACTTTCCCCTGTGGGGAAGTGTGAACAATGGAAGTGTTAAGAGAAAGCAACGGGCAAGATTTACAGATGCAGATGCAGTTTTTTCGTTTTTGTGTGAAATCAAACATTTTTAACCCATCTAAAAATTCTCTAATTAGTCTGGAAACAGTGGGACCTAATTCTTGTAGTATTCTTTGAAAACAGATAAGATTGACTATAACATAATAATCTTAATCTTCGCTATCGTTACTTTTTGCCCGAGCAACGCCGGGCTTATCTGCTAGTATATATATAATTATTTATTCACTTCATAAACATTACTGAATCGTGTTTCTGCTCGTCTTTGCCACAACTGAAGATGAACAGTTGACAGAAGGAAACAATACAAGAAATTATACCAATGCCATAAAATTTATTTACAATGTTTGCATTAACTAAAATGCAAACATTTAGCATGTTAGTTAATGCAAGATGTGAATGAATATTAAAAATGAAATATTAAAAAAGAGATTACTACTACATTCACATCTTTCATCATTTTTTCTGCTTGTTTCAAAAATTTTCTTAATGCAAAATCAAAATTATATATATATATAAATTATTACATTGTTTTATAAATATAGAAAAATGGTTAATTTGATAATAAATATTAATAAATAATTATTATTTTCAGGATATAAAAACTCAACTAAGTAATATGCTGCAAAAGAGGATGTAAATGGAATTCTGGTTTGCTTTCCAACTGATTCTTAAACATCAAAAATAATCAGGAATCAACCAATGTGGAAAAATATCCAAATGGTAACTATTTGCAGCATAAGTGCTGTAAAAAATTACTATGGCTCAAGAATTTCTTCCATTGTGTGATGTGCTGTTCAACATCATATCGCTCGCCTCATACTTCTGTGATATTGTATTTGATGTAGTTACGGTGTATACACTCTATGTACACAATCGGATAGTTTGGTTTATCCTGGCTCTATCGTGCATTTTGGCATCACTATTTATTAGTCAGCTCATGTCAACAAAATGGTACCTGAAACAGAACAGCAGGAAAGATTGCAGATTATCATTTATAATTCTAATTCATATTTTACAATGTGGTGTTCTGTGGAGATACTTTAAATTGTTCATACCAGTGGACCTGGCACGTGTTAAGAACGAAGTCCGTGATCTATGTATGCTGAGATTGATTCATGCCTTTTGCGAAGCTGCGCCAATGCTTCTCATACAACTCTATCTCATCTGGCTTAAACCATCTGCTAATAGTCTCTCCGATCTGAATATCGTCTCAACCGGATTGAGTTTGTTCAGTGTGTGTTGGGCATTAGCTTCCTTCAATAAGAATGTACGGAGGAGAAATATACATCGATTGATTCTCACTTGGTTGGGTGTGATATTTCAGTTTTTTTGGAGATTAGGAACGGTGTCATCACGAGTGGTTGCACTTACAGTCTATGCCACATTGTACAATTATTGGGTTTGTGTTGTTATTGGTCTTCATTGGATAAGCATGTTGCTATGGTTGATGTCACCAAAAAATGTTTTTCATGGAGAAAATATATCACGTCTAAAAAAAACTGGATTCTCAATGCTTATAGCATATGTATATATATTTTGCTATATAAATTTACAAGAAGTAAATGCAAGACAGAAGATGATGGCATTTTATATAACGATGTTTTTAGAAAATTCTTTATTGATGGCCATATGGGTTGGATTAAGAGGTGATGTTAAATGGTTTCATTATCCTGTTATTGGAATAGTATGGGGTGGATTTGTTTTGGGAATTATATTTATGATATTATATTATTACTTCTTTCATATCAGACGATTAAAACATAATGTAGCTGTTGCATCTAATCCAGGTTCTGACTGTTCAGTTTGTCCGACAGGTTCTTGTGCCAATCATTCAGGTAGGACTAGTTCATATTATATCAGTGAACCTTCAGCTAGTGATACAGCTGGCGGAAATCACAAAACTGTGTACAAAACTCGTAACAGTGCCATTTTTCACACTGCCAATGCTCTTCAGAATGGTGTGACTAATATTCCAGGTGTTTTCAACTGTCGTTTAAATCCCGCTCTTAAGAGAAAGAAGAAGAAACCATCTACATTTGTGCCCCCACCACCTCCAGTAACATCTTTAGCAAGTAATGGTAAAACATCCAATGCTTTTTGGAAGAAAACATCACCAAAATCTGGTGGAAGTGATCACGAAAGTAGTGTGGGATCTCGAGTGAACATTCAACAGAAATTACAAGAGAAAAAACAACAGCAGCTTCAAGAATTAAAAGAAATTGAAGAGGAAATCAAACAAGGAAAATTAAAGAGGCCTCGCCCATTAGAAATTAGCGAACAAGGAACACTCAGGCAACCTGTTCCACAGTCAAAGAAGCAACCTTGGTTACGTCCAGAATCTCCATCTAGTGGAATTCAATCCCATCTTCCATATCAGTCCATAATTAGTCCATTAGCTACAACTGGTATTCGATTAAAAGCAAAACAGAGATCACAAACACCAGAAATATTACTTCTGCCTAATTTAATCGATAACAGTCGAATTTACTACGAATATCAAGAACCTCGTGCTTTATATTCAGTCGTACCTCGAATAAGTTTCCACCAAGCCTCCGACTTATCTAGTAACAGTAACATGTCAGGCGTATCTAGAAGTAAAGGTTGTGCTCGTAATAGAAACAAAAAAGAAGGATCTCAAGATCAACACGGTGCTATGTACAAATCATATCGTATTCCTTCAGATTTGGACAGCCAAATATCTCTTCCGAGATCATACACTCTTCCCAGGGAATTCCGTTACTATCGCCGTCCCAAGACAAGAAAGGCAATAAGGACCGAGCATTTCATAACATCGAACAATTCGAGCGACGGCGACGTCGATTCTGCAGACGAAAACGACGAAGACATCGTTTTCTCGAGCAGCAGAGTCACGGCACACATTCGCTTTCATCCTTACCCACAAACGTTCAGAAATTCAGCCCTGGGACAGCTCCACGAAACAAAACTATAACACCAAACTAAAGCATACTAATTTGTAGATAATACTCATCACAATAAGATGTAATTAATTTTATATTGATATTTTAAAAAGACAAATGTTTTAAAGAAACTATTCCTGATTTTAGATAAAATCTTTGTACATATAAAAAAAATCAAGAATTTGCCAAAATCAAACATTAACAATTGTTAATTAACTTACCAGAGACAAACACTTGTATATAATAAATGTACAATTTGACGATCAAATGCAACATTTAATGTGCAAAGGATTGTAAAAAAACGAAACTGTGATAAGAATGATAAATTTCGGAAGGATACACTTTTTGTAATTCAAAGCTCGAAATATATTTAGGTACTTAAATTTTTCATTTCTGTGAATATGAGAATAAACTGGGTTAAATGAAAATAATACAGTAAAAAAAGATATATATGTATATATTTATATAGATATATATTTTGAAAAATTGTGTTTTTTGCAAAAATGTACAAGATTTTTTATCTACCAAAACTTATTAAATGTTTGTTATGATATGAAATGGGTTTTACTTGTTAATTTAAAAAAAAAAAAAAAGATGTAAATAATAATCCACAAATCAACATGAAATATTGGATAACTTTAATTAAAAACTATCATTGGCCGTCTAGCAATAGAAAAAGTAAATAAAACAACAGACACACTTCTGAAACATCTCAAAAAGATGACCATAAATTACTTTATCAGATATAGTATAATGTATAATTAAAACTTTCCGATTGTATACATCTTTATTAATACAAATGACTATATATAGTTTATGAAAAAAATGGGATCCTCTTATCCTCTTGCTTCTAAACAATGCCTTCACTTCTCGAAACTTGCAGCGATTTTTGATTGTCTCCTTCGTATCGAATCTTTTACCTTTTAGCGTCATCTTTAATCTTGGGAAAAGGAAAAAAATTGGCGAAGTCTGGAGAATAGAGCGGCCGAGGTGTTATCACTTTATCTGCCTGCCCACATCTTGTTTTCAGCCATTAGGAGAATTTTGTTTTCGCAGATAATTCGACGTCTCTCTGCTCCTGGTTAAATATCCAAAGATCAAACTTGCTCTTCTTTTTACTCCAATATCTTCATGAATGAATGATTGATACTGTATCAATCATTCATTCACGTTTTCTTCAGCATGTTCTCTGATGGTTATCCGGTTCTGATATCAAATCCTTAACGTTTCCAACAGTCTTGGATCATCTAGGACTGAGTCTTGTACTATTCGAATGCTGTCGTTCTTTAAGCTTTCAATGACCTATTTCCCCAAATCAAAGCAAAATTTCAAACATTCGCGTAAATCTTCCAATAAAAATCGCCGAAAGGTATTACTACGCGTGCATCGAATCGAATTTTCTAGAAATGTAGATGCTGCATGTGATTGTTGTTGCATCCACAAAATTAAATTCTTTTTAAAACCAACTTTAATTTGTTTTTACATACTTTCCCGGTTGTTATAACAGGGAAAGTATGGCGATTCGGAAAAAAATGATTCCCTCCCAGATTTTCACATTTTTGGACATAGGACACCTTGAAACGTCGGAAAATGAAAAAAATTCGGGGGTAATTTTTGTGGAGTAGGATTTTGTTCACCCCATTTAAAGCTTAATAATTCTGTGCTTTTTGTCGAAATTTTGTTGGGAGATTAATGTTATATAAAAAGTTTTTTAATAAAATATGATAACAGATTGCGCCACCAAAGTTTTAAATGTTGCTGGGAAAGTTGAGCAACTCCGCTTTCTCTATGGAGTCAGATCATCGTGCGCTGTACAATCCCAAACCCCGAGATCACACTATCTACTAAAGAAAGTGTTATTTAAATTAACATTTTGTATAATTCTAATTTATCGCTGCATTATGTACGAACTAAATTCTAAAACCCATCCAATTTGATACTCATAATCTGGCATTAACGTGGCTCGTATCATCGATAAACTGACTAAGCGACGACACAAATATCCCCTCACGATAGGATTCCCTTCTATTACTTTGGCTGTAAGTGAAATTTATACAAACGTTTAAAACGTACGGTACAGTACGTTTGTACTCGCTGCTCCTCCATACACGTTTCCACGATTTTTGACGATTTTAATTATCGAGTATTCGAAAAGATTTAACGCTTTCGATAGTTATAAAACTTACCGAGATGTGTTTTTCGAAATTGTTAACAATTTCAGACGAAGAATGGGTGGTGAAATGGTTAAGTATTCCTAAGAATTAATATTTATTGACATGTTCTATCAATAACGGTGCAACCGCGTTTTTTTTAAAAAAGTCACGTCACGTATTTGTCAATGAGTACGATTTTAGCTACCGCCGAAAGCCAACGAAGAGCATTCGCAGCATTAAACAGCTCACAAGGGAGTGGTGTTTCCGCTGCTGTCTGAAGTTACGCGAATGGCATTTCGTGTCTTCGTTCTTGTTGCAGCACGATCGAGATCGAATGGTATTTCATACGACGTAGGCACCTACAAAATTTCAGCTTGGACGGCGTCGAAAAGAAGTACAGTACAGTACATTAATAAGGTTGTCTACGGGGCGAAACAGAATCGTAGGACGCATCAATGTCAATGGTATTTTTGGTTCCGTGTCTGTCCGATTTATTATTTTGGAAAATTATCGATCGTCTTAAGTTTTCAAACAAGACTAATCTTTCAAGATTTATATCTTTTTAGTTTTGAAGAAAGAAAAGTAAATAAAATCTGTGATTTTAAATCTTTCCGAAAATTCTCACCAGAGGGAACACGCTAGCCGAGCGAGACCTTCGGCGGAGAAGAGGTAAATCGATGTCTAGAAAACCGCGCAACTTTTCGTGGATCGAAGAGGGTAAATTAGCAGCTTTCGGTTGGCCGTCCACGGTAGAAAACGTGCGCTACCTAGTCGATGTCGGAATACGTCATCTCGTGACGTTGTCGCCCGAGAAACCACCCCCGATCTATACGTTTCCCGAGATCAGCTGGACGGAAATCAAAATACGAGAATTTCATCCTCCTACCGTCAGTCAGATAAACAAATTCGTCGGCGTTTGCCAGAAGGCGTTCGAGTTGGGAGAGGTAAATTACTTTTCGGTTAATTAAAGTCTACCTAGGTAACCCTAATGGCGGCGCTTCGGTTAGGCTACATTAGATTAACTATATTTTTAGTAGACTTTTTTACTTTGTTCAAGAACTACCGTGAATCGGTAACTAGTGACGTTAATCACTCGGCGGCTCTCTTCCGGAAGCGCCGTCATTGGGGTTATCTAGGTACACTACTTTTCTTGTATCTGCAATGTAGGTACTGCTTGCATCCTATACCGTCCAAAAGTTCCCTTAATCGAATTTTCAAATTATTTTTCACCTGTTGGAAAAGTGACCGGTGTGTTATAGATTTAAACGGGATTCCGCCGGGCGGTAAATGTTACGAGAATGGCCGCTTTGGGAGCGACCTCGGCCCGGAATGCCTACGCTCCCGCCAAAGTACGAGCCCGGGTGACCGGTTCGAAAGTTGCCGCGGATGGGAATTCTTTACTTTTTCCCGAGAGTCTGCCGGACTTCCCTCGCCGTCGGCCGTTTCCGAATGGCGGAAATCGGGTCCGCAGCCGCCGGTCGGTCCTCGGAGAATGCGTTTTCCAAAGACTGCCGACCTCGGGCGCGTTTTGGAATGCGGTGACACCAGTATGTAAAAAAAACGTGAGAAAGCAGCTTGGACCGAAGTATCGCAGAATGTAATTTATCGGTCGGAATTTTAAAGAAAAAAGGTCTACCTATCTACGAGATCTACGCGTTTCTAAAGGATATTTATATATTGCAGTGTTTTGGTATGCCCGATTTGAATTTTAGAACGACGGTGTTGTTTCTGTAAAATCGAACTCGAACTCTGGTTATTTACCCGACGTCTGTGTTTATGTTTTTGGACTTTTTCATTTTTGGATTGGTAAATAGCGAGTATTTCTAGCAGAAAAACTATATGTTATCTCTAATTGACATCCTTTTAAATTCATACTCTTATAAAAGTAACTGCTATGACTGGTATAAGTACCTCTTAGTCTACTTTTATAACTACTGCCTAGTGCAGGGATAGTTTATTTTCCCAATGTGCCCAAAGTGGCACGTTGGGAAAATCAACTGGTGCGCAACGTATCGCACGATTTCGGTTTATCGTCCGATTGGCTTTTTTACAATTACAGCAATTAAAGCATTTTTATTTCGTTTCTTTGAATGTCGTTATTTGAAGTCCAAAACTTTGGCATGCATAAATATTTTTAAAGATAATTATACTCTCTATGTGGTGTGCGGACTTTAAAAGGTTTGCCATACCTGGCCTAGTGGAACCTTTAGATTTATGATAATATTGAAAGTGTTTTGAGCAAATTTGTACGAATTGAATAACCGTGTATCGTCGACGGGAAAGTGAGAAGTGTGACCGTGTCCGGTGACACTTAATCCGCGACAAAGAAGTTTGTTTTTGGAAGACTTAATTTGAAAAAAAATCTTACAAATGTGTGAAGATTTTGGTAGAAAAAATTTCCAATGATGTACCACCAAGAATCCCACTTTGCATGAACTTGTTTAAAGATTTTGTGAAACCTGAATTGGTTTTTTGATTGCTATGTCATTTCTAAGGACTTATGGCCATCTCACTCCCTGGACTTTGACAGATTTTTTTATGGGAGTATGTAAAAGAGTTTATGTAAATAATTTCCACAGTTTGGATGAACCTGAATCATAATGTTTGGACAAGCATGGCAAGTCAAAAATGTTATGACAAATGAGTAGGGATGTATGTCATCAGTGGATCTCTACCTCCAAATCCACTTCTGTCGTCTACTTGGAAATTTCTGAGTACAGCTGATAGTCTGCATGTGTTTTGTTCATTTACATTTTGTGTGAAGGTCAAGTTTTATTAGTAAAAAAAAAATTTGAAAGATTGAATAAGGGAACTTTTGGTACATTGTATATTTCCAGTAATCTGTCTTTCTTATACAATATTTCCTTGTATTATATGCTTGTCATTTGTATGCCTGCATTTGTTCATTTCAGGCCGTCGGAGTGCACTGCTGGATGGGGAGAGGCCGGACCGGCACCATGGTTGCGTGTTATTATATTAAGTTTAAAGGAATGCAACCGTTAGAAGCGGTCTCTATGGTCCAGAGGGCAAGACCGGGCTCCGTAGAGACTTACACTCAGGAAGCGGCCGTGATGGACTATTATGCATATTTAGTTCAACGTGGCCTATTAGAATATGATTAATCAATTTTAAACATTGTAACATTCAAACATTATTTATTAAACAGACTGAATACATGAGTCAATATAATACAATACAATAATCAAAAAAATATTTTGTCTCTTGAGACAAAAGATTTTCTTGATTAAATATTTTTATTTTTTCATCCTAAAAGCAAAGTTTGCTTTTAGGAGAAATAAATAGTTATAAAAAATACTTAATTACAGCAAATGTAGAGAATCGAAAAGTGGAATAATTACTCCAAGATGGCACTCTAAAGTATCTGTCCGGAATAGTCATTATGTTTACATTTCCAAAAAGTTTCGATCTTCTTACTGACAGAAAAAACAGGTATGGTCAATGTTTCCTAGTTTGAAAATTCCAAACTTTTGCCTTTATCTAGACAAAATCTTGTGTACACAAACATTTTCATAAAACAGAATAAGAATGTTTTCTGAAATAAAATGATTGATGGATATTAATTTAAAATTAAAAATTGGTCTGCTAAAACTGGGAATTCCAAATTTTTAAATATATAAGGAATAAAGTTAAATGAGAAGATATTTGGATTTGTTTTAGTTGTTTATTAATAACAGTTGTCAAAAACATAGGTTAAACTATGGAAGAAATGAGAAGCAGTTTCACTTTACTTTTTTTTTTTATTTTACTTTTGGCTAGTAAGTTTTGTCTGGTTTATATAAGATGGGTTCCCAACAGTTTTGTGGCACGGATGCATTCGACATTGCAAAATATAGTGGTGGGCAAAAATAGGATTTAAAAAAAATAAAAAATATTATGTCCTTTATTATAACATGCATTTTGTAATATATATTTACTATGACATATTATATATTTATTATAAAAGCCGAATTAGTGCGATCTTTGACACTGCATTTCATTTGCTAATTTCTCACAGTTGGGAGTGTAAGCCGATAATCCCAATCGTAAACAATCTTCAAGGTTAGTATTAGTAAGTTGAGATCTGATTTTTGATTTTATAATATTCATGGTGAAAATAAAGATTCGCACAAATATGTGGAACCAAAACAGGACTTGATTTTGAAGGCTTTTTTTCTTTACAAAAGGTTATACTTTTTATGCTGAACTAAATTCCAAAAATTTTCATCCGTATTGTGAAATTTTAATACGATGTCATTTTGGAAATCTAAAATCTCTTCTTCAATTATCAGTGTTTCTTCTTGAAGAAGTTCTTCTATAAATTTATCAGTTTCAGTAATGTCTACTTGTGTACTATAGGATTTAAAAAGCATGTAACCACGGGTTCGATAATGGTAAATTGATGGAATCTACTTTCAAACTTCCAAAAGTTTTTTAAGATGAGTAATAAATAATGTTAGGTCAAAATTATTTTTACCGGTCACTTTTTTCATCCTTGGAAAATGTACAAGAAAATTTTTTGACAAATTACTTATCCAAAACTGTATTTTGGCTTTCAATGCTTTTGTAGAGCTAATAATTTTAGCTAAATGTTTATTTTTTCCCTGGAGATCCAGGTTTAAACTGTTCAATTTTTCACATATGTCAGTTAAAAAACCAAGTCCATCAACCATTGTAGGTTATCTAATTGTTCAAACGTTTGACCTTTTGACATAAGGAATTTTTTTTAATCTCTTCCAAAAGATCAAAAAATTGGCCAAGTGCTTTGCCTTTACTTAACCTACATCTGCATGTAAGATAAGGTCAGCTTGGGAAGATTTGTCCTTTTCTACAAGGGCTTTAAACAATTGTGTGATGAAGGATTTGCTCAAATTTTGTTAATTATTTTAATAACAGCATTCATAACATGTTCAAAGGATAATATTTGGACACACAATGATTTTTGACATATGATTCAGTGATAATACATAAAATTCAGAAAGGATTCATCTCTCTTGCAATGAGAAATGAATCCATTATTGCAACCCACCATTGCTAGTGCACCGTCAGTAATTATTGCTGATAACTTGTGTAAAGGCATATTAATTTCTGTTGAGTAATTTTTAAAGATATTATAAATATCTTCACCCCTTGTTTGCTCTTGCATTGATAGTAACTTTAATAGTTCTTCTTTCATACTAAAATCACTGAATACCATTCTTATCATTACTGCCAATTGCACTGTATATATCTGTTGACTTGTCTAATTGTAATGAGAAATACTCATATTCTTCCAAATCATTTTTTAACTGACTTTGAAATCACCTGGATTCTTCTTGTACTTGTATTGTTTGATAACAGCAAATCTTGTATTGCTGAAATAATTTCTCACTTATTAGAAAATCCTCCAAATAACAAATTGGCTCCAATGAGAAATTCTTCCTTAATTAGTTCACTTTCTAAAAATGGTGGTTTTGTTTTGCCAAAAAATGAGAAATTTTAAAGGAAGCAATAGTGGCATTTTTATTTTTATTTACATGGCTGGTAAAAAAATGCGTGTTGGGTAGATAATCCCGATTTTAGTTGATTAAATTTTCTTTTTCTTAACTTGGATTTAGACAGATAACTAACTTCAAAATAATTGTGATTAGTTTTGTAATGATGTTCGACATTGTGTTCTTTTGCCACTGACACAACACTTGCATATTAAGCAAATACATTTCTCCTTACTTTCGATAACAAAGTAGTCTTCTTCCCAATCTTTGCTAAAATGATAGGTGCATTGTATTTTACTTGGATTACTCATTTTCAGGTAAAATATTTATATACACAACTCAATGATAGCATGTGATGACAACAGTACGAGTTTACAATGACAGCGTGCAGTGGCAACTAATACCATACTACTAATACAATAGAGATACTATTGGAGACATGATTATAATAGGCATGATGGATTAGACAGTGGTTAGTGTAGCCAATTTAGCAAATTTCTCATTACATCTAGCAAGATTTTAAAAACTAAAGTTTTTATTTTCTTTATTTTTGAAGATTTAAATTTTTTGTTTTATTATTTGAACACTGCAGCAGGCGCAAGGTTAGGAACTTGATATAAGAAGTCATGATCCAGAACCAAAATGTTTTAGCCAGTAATTCCTGCATTTTTCTTTTTGCATCAGCATGTGCTTTTGCTGACTATCTATGTAAAGTAAAACTAGATTGCATACATATATGGGAATTAACATGATTTTATTTGGGGACACTTGAAAATACTGCCTCTGTGTCTACACTGATCGGAGCTACTACTGGGGAACGTCAATGCTAACCGATACTAAGCAGATTAAAAATAAAGAAAATGAAATTGTTTATTATAATTTAACAAGCAATTATTTGTGACATCGTCAACATGCCAGGCTACAATTCTTAATCATATTTTTTTATTTATTTAATTTAAAACATATGCTTTCCGCCTCAAATTAGTAGTATCTTTCCCTTGTATGTCGTACTTTTCTCTTAACATTAGAGTCGTTCCAGTTGTCTAACACCTTTTGTGGAAAACGTTTGAATTGAAATAATGTGACTTCCAGTTTGCATTGGAAGTTTGTATATACAGTATAGTTATTGAGGCCTTCTGCCCCTAAGCTTCTCATATCTGGTCTCAACTTTCATCTATCTAACTCCATTCTTGAGATTAAGGAAGGACAGACAACAGTGGAAATTTATAATCTACAATTTTTTCAAATTGCAGCCCAATAATTATTAATTAATTTTCAATTATTATATTTCTTCAATCCAGAGATGCTTTACTTAAAACTCATTTTTACTTGGCCAAAACTGTTTTATGATCTGTTTAGAAGTCACATTTCCAATGAGGTTTGTCAGTAACAAGTATTCCATTTGAATTTCAGTTTTAGCAGTTAAAATACACATTTTGAGACCATTAAAATAAATATGCAGATCCTGGAAATAGATAATGTTTAATTCTATATTTCTATTTGATAATCATTACGTTATTTTTCTAACTTAATTTTAAGTTTTATTAAAAAATATTTCTGCAGAAAAAGTGTTAGTTAAGAAATAATGTATTTCTTTCATTCTTAGTACCTATGTAAATTTGAAATAAGCCACAACAGGCAATGTAGATCCTTATGATTAAACTCATATAATCAAATTATAACTGATATGACTGATTATATCAATGGTTCCCAACCTTTTTCGGGTGGCGACCCCCTTTTTATAAAAGCCAAGTGACCCGCGACCCCGATACAATTGAAAAAGGTATTTTTAATAAGGTAATTAAAAAACAATGAAATTAGTTTTTTAGTATAATTTTATTTTAAATTATGTTTAATAATTAATTTAATGAGATAGTTGAAATTGCATGTATTATTAACCAGCCTCAAAATTCGCGAGTGAGATTTTGTTAACGCCAACCTCATGTCATTCTCAACATTTAATTTATTCCTCTCAAAACTCTCAACACGTGATTCAACCAACTGACAGAACAGCGTACCCAGATTACACTTATTTTAATTTTTTAAAAATATATGAAATTATTCGAACTTTAAGACACCATTAAAAATAAATATTGCATTATAGTGAAAATTTTGTTTTAGTTTACTGCATAAGTTGGCGACCCCACAGAAAACCCGTCGCGACCCATAGGTTGGGAACCAGTGGATTATATGGTTAAACTCATATAATCAGTTATATCTAAGAAAACAATTAATTACAGTAAAATTTGAAATAATAATAAGATATTTTTAATATAATTGTATAAAAATGTATTTGCAGACATATATGGCATAGTCCACTTTAATCAATTCACTGGAATAATTCAAAGAAATACTCATCTGACAAAAGCTTGTCAAACCAAAACTGCTAGACCCCACAAGACGAGGCTATTGGTTTCGTCTTAGATGTGCTACAATTGACAAAAATAGGATTGACTTATTTTCTAAATGGAAACTCCCATTTTACATCAAAAACAAACAATTATCTTTTATGTGACTATCACACTGCATGTGTGTGCCTGTTGATATCTGTGAAGTTTGTTGAAAAAAATGAAAAAGGCTTTAAAAAATCATTACAAAACTATTATTATTTGGTGAATCATTCTTTTTTACTTCAAATGAACTAATAAAAAACTTTTCATAGCTCATTTAAATTTTTAGTGGATTGCTTAATGTGAATGCTTGTCAATTTTTTCTTATGGCAAATGACATCTCTTTTGCTGAATGTGTACGTCAATTCTCTGTTGGAAATGTTTTATGGTATGTTTTACAAGCTATTTGAATTCTCCCAATCACATCTCTAGTTCAGTGTTTTTCACCTTCTTGAATAAGAGACCCCTTTACAAGTTAAAAAATTCTGGCAACCCCCCAAGGCCATATTAAAACTATGTCAGTGATTTTAAAATCTAAGCATTTAATTATCTTTCTGTTTAGACCTAAATATTGATCAAAACACCAATTGTACTGTAAAATAAACAGGCACAGTTTTCTCACTGAGATTGTAGTTTTTTTTTTATTGTAGTGTAGGACCTACAAACAGTTGTCTTTTTCTTTTACCCGCGATCCCCCATGTAAGGTTTTGCGACCCACGGGTTGAAAAACACTGCTCTAGTTGTCGGTTCTTGTTTGTAAACAACATTCTTTAAATATCCCCAAAAATAAAAGTTGGGGGAAGCCAAAACTGGTGATTGTGTAGGCCATTGTAGTGGTCCACATCATCCAATCCACTTTTTGTTAAGTGCTTGTTTAAATATTTCATGCATAGTGGAGGCCCCACTCCATCTAAATGAATTCACATTCTTTGCCTTATAATACAAAGATCAACTTCAAATAATGAACTGAACTGGTTACAAAAATTTGAATAAAAGAATGATTGCAATGATTTTTTTAGCCTTTTTTTTTTTCCTATTGAACTTCACAGCTATCTGTAGACATGCACATATGCAGTGTGGTGGCTGCATATGTGCATTTAAAGCACATATGCAGCCACCACACTGCATATGTTCAAAAATATTGTTTTTGATGCAGAATTGTAATATGCAGTCAAAAATGGGGTTCTCATTTAAAAAACTGAGTTGACCCTGTTTTCATCAATTGCAGTGCCATCCACGATGAAATCAATAGCTCTATCTTGTGGACCCTTGAAGTCTATCATTTTTAATTCCCCCCCTTTGTAAGACACATACTTTTTCAAGTTATTCCAGTGGATCAATTAAAATGACCACCTGGTATACTTGCTAATAATTCTTAAACAGTGAGTTTAAACTGGCTCTTCTAGACTGCTAGTCTTTTGTGGACTGTTACAAATTCCAAAATGCAATCCAAAGAAATTATTTGATGAAACTGGATATCTACTAGTGTCATTCTGGCATCTCTCTCCCTAGCTTTGATAATTGATTAATAATCAATTTTTTCATTAATTAAAGAAAAATAAAGTCAGCTCTACCCACTTCTTAGTACCTGCAGAGTAGCCTTGTAGGTGCTAAGCAGGACTTTACAGCAGGAATCTTGATCATGTTCTGGCTTCAGGCAAACAATTTTTAACTGCAATTGTTCAAGAAAGATGTACTGTATATTTACCCAATTATTTTATTTTATTGATTTATTTTTATTATCTATACTAATATTATAAAGAGGTAAACTTTGTAAGTTTGTATGTAGGAGGTAATCTTCGAAACTACTCATCCGATTTCAAAAATTCTTTCACCAATATTTAGAATGGAACTTGAGGGTGGACATAGGCTGTATATTATTCCAGTAAACATTCATATAAATTAAAAGATATCATCTAGGTTAAGGCTTTTATGTCCAACAGATGACACTATGAGTATGATGACCTAAGTTTGCTTTTCTGCGAGGATGAACTAAAGCGGATCATATTCTATCTATCTATCTATATAAATGAAAATGTAATGTTTGTTTGTTCCTACCTATTCCTTTGAAATTTTGACACAACGTTGCATTCAAATACACACGTGTTTTTATATAATATGTGTGTCGAAATTCCCTCCACTGGGGAGGAGAGGGACAGGATTAAGGCTTACCATGAAGAACTTGACTTCTATTATACTATTTTAGATGCGGTTTTTTGCGTTTTAGTAGGGTACTCAAAAGAATGTACACTAAAACGGCTTTTTCAAAAAATTCCCCCCCACGGGGGAAGTGTTATACATTTATAATAGTTACATTTTGAGCCACAACAATGCCTGGCAGGGTCTGCTAATAGCTTATAAAATATGTAACTTTAGCACTATTCTCAGTTATATCAAACTGTAATTAAATACAGGAAATGAATGGCCAGCTTGTAGCCTTTCTAATATAAGTTAAAAACAATACTTAATATAATTTAAATGTTACAACAGATTGGATTAAATTAAAAAGAAAATTCTGAACAATTAGTTAGGAGGAATTTATTAGAAGAAAGAAAAACTAATTAAAAATATTTGCTTTGGTTTTAGGCCTCTACAACTTAAGTGATTAAAAACATTCTTGCATAGTTTTAAAATGTATTGTTTAAAACTGCAGCAATGCAAAACTGCAGCAAAGCAATGCAAAAGAAAAAGAAATAAATTACTTTTTCTTCAGTTGTTAGATAATAAAACCATATATGAAAGTTATAAAATTTGTACAGAATGTGGTTGTGGATCATTGTTAACCAGAGCTGATATGTACAGTTGGTTTTGACTTAATTGGGTGTTTCCTCTCATTATTTGTAGATACAATTTTTATTGAAGGCTAATGTATTGTTTGATAGCTGCAAGTTTAACAGAAATCTTACAAAAAGTCAATCAAGAATCTACATAGAAATATGAAGTTTCTTAAATTTAAAAATATCTCTTATTCTTAGTATTGATTGATAGACACTAGATTGATGTCATGAAGCATACAATCCAAAAATTATCATTTTCTATTTGTAACTTATTATTTGTACTCTCAAATGCCTGTCCAAAAAGTTACCTTACCAGATAATACGCTTATTTGCATTTCCTTTAATTCCATTTTAGTTACATTAAAATGATTAAAATGATAATTGTCTAAGTTGCACACTTTTTGCATCAAAGATGAGGGTTAAAACAAAGAGTAATGTACTAAATATTGAATAATAGATTTATACACATGAATACCTAATTGTATAGAATAAAATTTCTATTCATTAAATCATATGATAAAATACAATATGAATAGTCAAGCAGTTTAATGATAATTAAAATATAAGTAGCACATTAATTGTCATGATCCATTATAATTAAAGTTTATCTTGTTATAAAGTTTGCAGAGAATTGCTTCTATATTGTATTGACTATTATAATTGAGTAAAGATAGTGAATTTACATATTT